AGCTATTCGAGTTTCTCAGTGACAAGTTTTACCAGTCCAGTCTTCGCAGAAAATTTGTGGGTTTGTTTTTGTTTGAAAGGGCATGCATGTGTCCAAGTGAATAGTTTAATGCATATTGCCCATTAATCTAGCTCAATGAGTGACTTGAATTATATGGAAATTTGTTGGGTTAAGTATCAGAGTCGGTACGTGGTTGGGCTGAAAATTGAAAACTCAACATATTACCCTTTATGGTGTGGACGTCATGAAACCATAAATAGTTAATTATTTGCTCGAGGAAACTCGAAGATAATTTGAAGGGAGTGTCAAGTCAAGTCAAGTGCAGTTGGGATAGGTAGCTGCTACAATAAAAGCTGATCCGCATTGACTTTGACCTGGCTGCTGCCATGCTGAACCAATAATCTATAAACACTGAGGTCCAATGATGGAGTCGCGCAACAACTTTGAACTGATTCTGTTTGAATAATGTTTTTTCGTTGCGAATTAGAAAGTAGTTTGAATTTTACCCAGTCTGTGAACGGAAGTTTTGATCCACAATAAGAAAAAAAACGGTTAAAGTATTTTGGTGTATGATACAAGCAAAGAAAGTGGATGGCTAGCAAACTAAGCCATTGCTAAAGATTAATTAATTACGACGATCTGGATAAAACTGCGGAGTTTTACCACCTAGGAGGAATTTTACAATATTATATAGCATTGGTACTACAGGTTTTTATCTCTATGGTACAACTTTAAATTATACCTTTAAAGTTATGATACAACTTCAAATTGTACCTATACTTTTTGTGCAAATTCTTTTATGGTACAACTTGAACTTTGTACCTTTATGTTATGGTACAACTTCAAGTTGTAAAGTTATATCATAACATAATGATACAAATTCTTTTATGGTACAACTTAAACTTATACATATATTGTTCTGGTACAACCTAAAGTTGTAAATTAAAGTACCAATATTATATAACATAGTAGAAGTGCTATTCAATTAGAACCTTAATTTCTCAAGTATTGGATGTAAATGCGGATAGACAGATTGATGATTGTAAATTTCAGATTTTTAAGTATGCTTTTTTTCGACCAGGTGAAAAGGATTATATACCCTCTCCAACTCCAAAGATATACCATTATAGAAGGAGGTAGAGGGATTGGCCATTGTCACCGAACATGGTTTTTTGGGAGGAGGAGAAATATTTTCAAACTTGTCTATATTAATGATCAAATTCACCACCTTGAGCTGGTATAGGAGTGTTCTGCCACCATACTACAACTCATTTATTTTTTTTTTGTAGACAAACATAAAATTAATTTATTATATATAAACAAAATCTCCGGCTTGAATAAATTCCTAATCAATAGATATCTCTTTTCTCCTTAGGTCTATTCCATTTTTTTCAACAACTTTCACTGAGAAAGCAGCATAATAACAATTGTTTAGTGGCATACATTGAAAGAGACTTATAATACTTGATAGTGTGGACAACGAAAATAGGACACCTGTAATTTAAAATCCTAGCTTAGCCACGGGCCATGAAAATTGGTATTCATCTTTGTAAACTATGACATATTAAGAGTTATAGGTATAATATGCCCCTCTATTATATAGTTTTATCAAACATGTCCCTCTACTGTTTTTTAGATCAAACATTCCCCTATACTTGAAAAAAATTATCAAACATGCCTTATGTTTTCCATTAAAAAATGGTCAACCATGGGTGAACTGAGATTCACACGACCCGACATCGGAAAAATTAGATTTGAAATATCAGTTTTTCCTCATTTATTTCTCCAAGTCTCGTTAAAGTGAAATTATTAAAGATATTTGGCTATACAAAGAAACAAAACAATTCTAAAGCCGAATTATTAGAAATATTTTAGACGTAGGTGTCACCCAAACCAAGGTCCGGCCATGGTTGATGGGTTTTGGATGTAAATTTTAATAGAAGGGTATGTTTAATCATTTTACAAAGTATAGGGTCATGTTTGATGTAAACAATAGTAGAGGGCATGTTTGATAACAATTTGAAGAAACTATTTAAAGTAACATGTTTGATGTAAAAAATAGTTAAGGGTCATATTATACATATTTAAGCAGGGGCGGAGCTACAGCAGCCTGTTAATTGTATTAGGTGTCAATTGTAATTAGCCTTTTATCCTTGTGTTAGTAGTATTGGTTAATTGCTTAATGGTCCTTGAGATAGGGTTTCGGCTATGATAAATAGGTGAAGTTAGCCACTATTGTAACCTAAGGATTCTCGGATAATACAATTGACTCTGAGAGGTTGCTCCTCTCCGTGGATTAGTCTCAACGTTATACGTTGAGGATACCACGTAAATCGGTGTGCTCGTGTGATTATCCTTCTCTTGCTTAGTGTTTAACATGGTATCAGAGCCTCTCTTCTAATCTTGGGTCTCACGTTGGCAGCTGCTTGTTTCAGTCTAGGGTTTCGGTGCTGCTCTCCTTGGTTTGGTGCTGCGTCTCTGGTTCTTTTTTGGGATTCGCTGTCTCTTTCTTTTGCCGGCTGTTCTCGTGCGCTGCTTGCTTGCTTCTTGTTCCTGGTCGGCCTCGTCATGGACCTCTCCAAACTCGATGCCGTGTCTGTCAAGTTCAACGGTAAAAATTTTGCCTTGTGGGAGCTGCAATTCCGCCTGTTTGTTCAGGGCCGCCGGCTGTCGTCGATTTTGGATGGCACCTTGCCTGAGCCCGATGCGGCAGCTCCGGCCAAGGATCGTGAAGACTGGGCAGTCCATAACGCCCAGATCATGGTCTGGCTTCTGGGTTCCGTTGAACCGTCCATAGCTCTGAGCCTTCGTGGCTTCCCGACGGCCCACGCCATGTGGCGTCACCTCTCCGATCTGCACTCTCAGTCTGGTCCCTCTCGTAAGTACGAGATTGAGATTGATCTGGCTCGCCTACAACAGGGGGACCTCGATGTGCGGTCGTACTACCAGGCTGCGGTCAGTTTATGGACCGAACTCGATCACTTGACCGCGACGTCTCTCTCAGCTGAGGCGACGGCCCAGGTCCTTCAAGATCGCGCCAGTTCGCGTATGATGCAGTTTCTGATGAAGCTTCGTGGGGAATTTGAGGGGATACGTGCTTCCTTGCTTCACCGCAACGTGACCAAGCTTGAGGATGTTCTGGGCGAGCTTGTCCGGGAGGAGACGCGTCTCCGAAGTCAGGCAAAGATGGAAATCCATCAACCTGATTCTGCCTCTGTGTTCGCGGTCTCGGAAGGCAAGTCTGGGTCTTCTTCTTCTGCTTCCGAGGGCTCGGCCTTTGCTGTTGGGTCGGATAGGCCTCGTTTCCATCGTACTCCCTCCGGGGAGATTGTTTGCTTCTTTTGCAAAGAGCCTGGCCATATTCAGAATCACTGTCCGCGTCGGAATGTCTGTAATTATTGCAAAGCCGAGGGCCACAAGATAGGCGAATGTCCGATCCTTGCCAAGCGTGGTCGTGGCAAGACTTCTAGTTCAGCTACTGGTGGGGGATCTCGTCCCTCTTCCACGGGGGCTGCGTATGCGACTGTTGCTGCTCCGCCTCCTCCTCAAGCTACTCCTGCCGGCACCGTGTCTCCTGACTATATTCGCCAACTAGTTCAGGAGGCCATTAAGGACGCACTACCTTCTGCACTTGGTTCTGTGTTTACCACGGGTATGATTTCTAGTTCTCCCTCTTCTTGGCATCTTGACTCTGCCGCCTTTAATCACATGACAGGTTCTCGTTCATCGTTTCGCTCTCTTCGGCCTAATTCTTCTGTTATGCTTCAAGTTGCGGATGGTTCTTGTCTTCCTGCTCAGGGAATTGGTGATATTCATCAGTCTCGGGTTCACCTTTCGGATACTCTTTATGTGCCTAAGCTTGTTCCTAGTCTTGTGTCTGTTGGGCAGCTCGCAGAAGATGGCTGTCGTGTTACTTTTGATGATCATGGATGTGTTGTGCAGGACACGAGAACAGGGAGGGAGATAGGCCGAGGGACTAAGGTTGGTCGGGTGTTCACCTTGGATAGCTATTCGGGTTCACAACTGCAGACTAAGTCAGGACAGGGTGGCGGTGGTGTTTCTGGGGCTATTCGAGAGGGTGCTTCTTCGAAGAAAAGAGTTGATCATTTTGGTTTTTCTGTTAAACTGTCGAATTGGGATTTATGGCATCGTCGGTTAGGCCATCCACATTCAGCTCGTTTATTAGAGATGTTTAAACATAACTTATTGTCCGGTAGTTCGGCTTTCGATTCTCGTGATTGTGTTCATTGTATTGAGGCTAAACTTTCTCAGCAGTCGTTTCCGCTCAGTACTACAGTTTATACAGATCCATTTGAATTGGTGCATACAGACTTATGGGGACCATCTCCTGTTAACTCTCGTGTTGGGTTCCATTATTTTGCTCTATTTGTTGATCATGCTACTCGTTTCACTTGGGTTTACTTCTTACGGAACAAGTCTGACCTTATCAAGGTGGCCAAGGAGTTTATTCAGATGGTTCGCACACAGTTTGGTAAAGTGGTGAAAACTGTGCGCTCAGATCCCGGTGGTGAGTTTATTTCTGGTCCTCTGCAGGAGTTTTTTAAAGAACTTGGAATTTTACCACAGCAATCCTGTCCAGGTGTATCACAGCAGAATGGATTAGTAGAACGGAAACACCGTCATGTCCTTGAGCTTACTCGAGCTCTTCTGTTTCAATCGTGTGTTCCTGCCTCTTTCTGGGTTGAGGCCATTCATACGGTTGTTTATTTGATCAATCGGCAGCTTACTCCTATCCTTGATCACAGGAGTCCTTATGAGGTGCTCTATGGGAAACACCCAGCCTATAAGGCACTTAGGGTGTTTGGTTGTGTGTGTTATGTTTTACTTCCCAGTAGAGAGCGGCATAAGCTCTCTCCCAAGGCCGCAAAATGTGTCTTCATCGGTTACAGTGACAAACATAAAGGGTATGTTTGCTATGATGCTACCCAACGGCGTGTTCGTATTTCATGTAATGTAGCATTTCTTGAGCATCTATCATATTATGGAAAAGATGGGGCTAAGGCTAGGCCCGACCTGGATTTCTTACATAGCCTGCCCTCGTTTCCAGAAGCGGTGGTTTCTCCTGGGCCGTCTGATCCGCCCCCGTCTCCTGACACCACTTCCCTCCAGCTTGATGCTTCCAGCTCCTCGGCCAGCCCCTCCACTTCACTGTCTTCTTCCCGCTCGACTGCCCGATTAGAGATGTCCGCGGCGGGCTCTACTGATTCTTCCATGGAGGGAGGGCCCTCTGATAACCTTGATACCTTGCTTGAAGAGGATGCCGAGACCGTCACTCTTGATCATCATCTAGCTGCGGCAGAGGATGCTCCCCCGTTGCGGCGCTCACAGCGTGCCACAAAGGGGCAAAAACCTGCTCATTTGTCTGATTTTGTGGCTTTTTCGACGGCACCGATACCTGTTCCTGCGACCTATAAGCAAGCACGAGGGAATCCAGACTGGGATGCGGCTATGACAACAGAGGTGGATGCTCTTGAAGCAAACCACACTTGGGACATCGTGCCTCGTCCTCTTAATGCACCGGTTATTGGTTCCAAGTGGGTATATAATGTGAAGCTACATCCCGATGGATCTCTTGAACGATTTAAAGCGAGGGTTGTTGCCCAAGGGTTTCGCCAAGAGTTTGGGATCGATTATGAGGAGACTTTTGCACCGGTGGCGAAAATGCAGACTGTTCGCGCTTTGTTTGCAGTGGCTTCTATGAAAAACTGGTGTCTTAAGCAGCTAGATGTGAAAAATGCATTCTTGGATGGGGACTTAAAGGAGACCATCTACATGGAGTGTCCGCCTGGTTACTTATCTGGTGACAAGTCTAAGGTCTGTCTACTTTGTCGGTCACTTTATGGTCTAAAACAAGCCCCCCGTGCATGGTTTGAGAAATTTCATGACACTATTCTGCTTGCTGGTTTTCGCCAAAGTGATAATGATCCATCCCTGTTCCTCCGGCGAACAGATAGAGGTTTGACAGTGCTCTTAATTTATGTTGATGACATGTTGGTGAGTGGAGATGATACGATTGGTATACAGGAGCTTACTGACAGTCTCCATGCAGCGTTTAACTTGAAAGAGCTGGGGGATGCTTCTTACTTCCTGGGTCTTGAGATTCATCGGTCCACAACTGGTATTTTGGTTACTCAACAGAAGTATATTGCAGATCTTTTGGAATCTGCTCATATGGATGACTGTGCGCCGTGTGCGACTCCAATGGAGCAGAATTTGAAGCTATGGCAATCTGATGGTGATCTTTTTCTGATGGATCGTCATATAGAAGTCTTGTTGGGAGTTTGATTTATCTAACTCATACTAGACCTGACATTTCGTATGCGGTTCAAATCGTTAGTCAGTTCATGGCAGCACCTCGCACTACTCATATGGTGGCAGTTACTCGTCTCTTGCGCTATTTGCGTGGTTGATAGGGCAAAAGCGTATATGCCAATTTCCTATCTCGTAGTAAACCGGAAAGTCCGGGTATCGTCTCTCAGGGACTGGTACAACCTTATGATTTATCAAGTTTGTAGAGCAAACTATATGTGAAAATGTTTAATGAGATGAAACTATGATCTACTAGCAAAGTAATTAAACAAAACAAGCAAATTAAAATGTCGGGTTTAATTCAATGGGAGAAAGCTCTGGGAGAAACACCAGGATTCACTACCTATCCTATCCAGATTAATTCACATATTCCAATCAATTTAATCCATACCTCTACAGCCAGGATATCACGAATGTGCTAGCTATCCCTGTCGGGAATTACTACGTACTAAACAATTAATTCAAATCCTACTGTCGTAGCTCAATGAGTTAATTATTTAGTCTGAAGATCGATATCCTATTTAAGGCCGCATAGCACCTTATTTAATCCACTGTCGCTTCGATAAGTTACTATGTCACATGAAATAGGTTCAGTTATTAGGGTTTCACTGTCGCTAATAACCTAATTAACTACAATTCATTGTATTGGTGGCCAGTCAACACAAAGCATTAAGCAATTCCATGCAATAGAGATTGGAAGAAAAGAAATATGAATCAATCCATCAAACATAGAAAATAGCTACATCCTATGGTGTTTCCCCCAGAAATCGGGGTTTAGTTCATGACGAAATTAAGATAAATCGATAGGGTTTTGTTCATCATGTTCTAAATCAACAAGAAACAACTAATTAGGTTTAGAAAATCAAACCAACTAATCGCTCTCGTTGAACTCAGCTCAGGTAGCCTTGAAAATCTCAATCGTCGATTGAGAATCGCCTGGTCGCTCGATGCCTGCTGCTGCCTTGCTGCGCCGCTCGCTGCTCTCTCCCCAAGAATTCCGCCCTGCGCCTCTTTCTTCCTTCTCCAAAACAATTCTTCGTGTCCACCAAAATAAAGTGCCGCCAAAGAAAACCCTTCCTCCCCGTCAATAAAATTCCGTTCCGCCTGTTCCCCCCAAGAGATTTTGTCTCTTTTGCCCACCAGAAAAACCCAAAAGCCACCGACCTCAAATTCCAAGCCCAAAAGCCATTTCCGCCCGCCTCTTTTCTTCTGCCCAGCAATTGGGTTCCGCCCGTGTCCAAAGAAATGTCTGGCCCAATGATTCCGTCCAAAAATCCAAAAGAGAGTCCCGGCCCAAATCAATTCTCTGTGCACTCGCTTCTTTTTCGTGCTATCTCTACCTGTAACACATCAAACTCAAGGCACTAGGCAGTAATGGTTTTTCAACTATTCTCGGGTTAGCGAGCCCTAAAATAACACCAATTGACTAAAACATACCATGGATAATCACATAAAGTCCAAGAATCTCATATATTAAAGCCGAATATCAGTGGTACAATGGATGTTGGCCTGTATTTTCCTTCTGCTGGTGATCCCATCATTGAGGCGTATGCTGATGCTGATTATGCTGGATGTCTAGATACTCGTCGTTCTACGTCAGGGTGGTGTGTGAAGATTGGACCCTCATTTGTGTCTTGGCGGTGTAAGAAGCAGGAGCGGGTTTCCAAATCTTCCACTGAAGCTGAATATAGATCGATGTCGGAAGTCACGTCTGAACTTGTTTGGCTCCGGAGACTGGTTATGGAGCTTGGCCTGTCCTGTGTACTCCCTATGCGGCTCTACGCAGACAACACTAGTGCAATTCGGATAGCCACGAATCCTGTTCTTCATGATCGGACTAAGCACATTGAGGTGCATGTTCACTATATACGTCATTTAGTCACTGCTGGAGAAATTGCGTTATCGTATATCACTTCAGAAGACCAGACCGCAGATTTGTTGACTAAAGCAGTGGCAACTTCTCGTCATTGGTTTCTGGCGTACAAATTGATGTTGCGTAAGCATCATCAATTTGAGGGAGGGTGTTAATTGTATTAGGTGTCAATTGTAATTAGCCTTTTATCCTTGTGTTAGTAGTATTGGTTAATTGCTTAATGGTCCTTGAGATAGGGTTTCGGCTATGATAAATAGGTGAGGTTAGCCACTATTGTAACCTAAGGATTCTCGGATAATACAATTGACTCTGAGAGGTTGCTCCTCTCCGTGGATTAGTCTCAACGTTATACGTTGAGGATACCACGTAAATCGGTGTGCTCGTGTGATTATCCTTCTCTTGCTTATCTCGAAGTTGTGTATAATTGGATCGAGGTAATACGTATAAACTAAAAACAGTGTATATAAAATATGCGCTTCCAAGAAAAGGACCCAAATTGTTACGTAGCCCAGCGGGTTGTTGTTTTAATTGGAGCTCTAGATCTTGGTTTCGATTCCCAAGAGAAGCAATTGCAGCTTTCCTTTTTTCCATGGTAAGCAGTAAGCAGTTAATAGAAAATTAAGTTCTTGGTTTAAGCATTAAGCAGCTTATCCCTTTCTTATTTTTCCGGAAATTATCAATTTCACTATAAATCCAACATTTAATTTCAAATTAGATAACTATTCCTTCAATTTTGAATATACTTTGTCTCTCTCAACAAATCACTTTGACTTTAAATCAAGCATTCTATTTCAAATTAAATACTTAAATCCTTCAATTTTAAAGATTCTTTGAATAAAAGAATCAATTTAATCATTTAAGTTTAGTATTTTGTTTGTATAGTTCAATAAATTAAAATTATATCAATTAATTTCTTTCATTTTAAGGATACTTTCGGATATATAATGAATAAGTCACACAATATTGAAATACATTATTAATCATTTTTTTTATTTTTCTGAATTGTGATAAATTTTATTAGAATTTTTATGTGTGTTTGTACTATATAAAGTTTTATTAATATTATGATTATTAGTATATTTTTAGGTTTTGCGGTAATGTAAACTCCGGCCCTCCCGAACACTAAATCCTGGCTCCGCCCCTATATTTAAGTATTGTATTTCAAGTACTATTTGATGACACTCAATTTATAGTATTTATCACTGCAACATTTTATACATGTTCCCTTTCTATCAATGCATCTTTAATACATTCTCATCTATTTCTTATCTAAATTATAACTATTTGATCAATGAGCATTTGATTGACAAGGTTATGTTTTTGTCAGCGACGAATCTAGCTAAGGGGGGTCGCCCCCGGGCCATGGCCCAGCCCTCCCCTGGATCCAGAGCTAGAATAGCCATTGTAAATTTCCGATTTTAGGTATTCTTTTATGTTATTGATGCTCTAAAACACAACACCTAACAATGGCCAAGTGTAACCAATGAAAGGGACTGCAGTATAGTGGCACAAGTAATAAATATCGAATCCACGGGTCTCTAGAGTTACTATTACTCAGCTTCAGTTCATTATCTAGCAAACTAGATTAAGGATTAATTAACTAAACTACCCTACTAACTAAACTAAGTAAAACTACTAATTATTGTTTGGGAACTCACTTAGGTATGATTCCCCCTAGCTCCTCAATTAGGTCCAAGTTGTAATTCCTTTTGGTTGTTTTACTGTTGATTAAACTGCGGAAGATCCGACAGTAGCTTGGAATCTCTTAAGCTGACAAGCCCTCTCAGTCTAACTATCCGGCAGACGACTAGTCTTCAACGGGATAGAAAGCTGAAGCAATAAGCACAGAACTCCACAACTGGAATCGGATTCCAGTACAAAGCAGTAAACTGGCTAACTCTCGTATAGCCTTTCTCCTACTACCGAATGATGAGGCTCTAACAACCTAATCAGATTCTATCTATCTCAGGTTGCAGCAGAAATCAGGAAAAGTTGATCAGACTTCAATTGACTCAATAAACATGCATCATT